CTATTAAAGGCAGCTGAAAGTTGTCACGGATGCAGAACATCCAGTCTACGCGGGCCACAGTGTATGCCATCGGTACTGTCGGGAAATCACGCCATAAGCGCGCAGAACATATAATAAGCACTTACGCGATGAACTAAATCCGCATGAAGACTCCAAGTGTTGTCCTATTCTGTTACTTGCTAGCAAGTCTGCACTATATCCACTACAGTTTTAGTTGACAAAGAAGAAATTTTGGATTTCAGTAAGAAATAAATTACTTAACCTAACTCCTGACAATTTTTTAAATACTTAATTTGCGTCTGTTCACTTGGAGCCAGTCGTATTTGTGGACCAAGAAATGAAAATGTCAACTTTGCGTATAAAATCAGTTCTTCCTTGGTAATTTGGCAGCTGGTTCATGTGAGAATTTGCAGAATTTTACAAAACTTAATCGGACTTCCTGCAACGCAAAGGAACTGTTTTTTATCTTTGTTTACATTGTGGTTCCGGATTTTGATCCCTTTTAGCATCTAAATCGGATTCTGCCATTGACACGTCCATGTTGGTTTTCGTAAACTGAAATATTTTCCACTATTTTCAGGCTTCGTGTCATCGTGAAATTCAATTCTCCACATGATTGCCAAGTACTTTGAAGGTAGGCTCAATAAAGAATTTAAGAGTCTCATGAACATTGGACACTGAACCCAAATAAGACTGTTTTAACTCAGAGAGAGTTTGACCCTTAGTGCGGCTATATTTCGCAAAGTACGGGGTGGGCGGGTTGCTTTCTACAGCAGCAGAGGCTGGCCTGTATATGTCGGTAGGACAAACGAACCAATCTCGAGATTGAGCTTCAAGAAAATACGGAAAGAGTGAATTTGGTACCCGATCGATGAGCGCACATCCATTTATGAAATTTGAAATTTTGGTATCATAAAAATACTGAACCCTTGTTCCTCCGCTGTTTTTAGTTGCTATGGTCTCTGATAAGGCATCCGGGGTTGAGTCTGTAACGCCAATGAAGCACAAATCTTTTCTTATAAAGTATCCTGTAATTCGGTCTTTTAGTGTGTACGAATATTTTTCTGCTCGTCCACCTAAACGGTGAGCTTTCTGTTCATCCATGTGAACGTAATTAGCGTCTAGTTTAATTATACATTATAGCGTATCCACTTGCTAGACCAGAATGGCGATGTCAACCCTCATCCTAGATTCTGATTATTTATTCCCAACAAAATTCGCTGACTGGTAAGCGACGGTAGACTTATAAAAATTAGCCGACTTCTGGATAACTTTGTTGTAGGTTGTCTGGGGCCTTCTATTTTACTGCGGGAAACAGCTGAAAAGTTTTCCCCCGAACAGGACCAAAATTCTCTTTTGAAAACTGAAGGGTGCACTCTGTTTGACGAACTGGAACTTACCATAACACCAACAAAGTGCGACGCACTCGCAGAAGACGATGAAGAGGATTGAGAATGGAGCTCCGTAGGTATCCAAGAGAGTCAGCACATAGTAGCCGCCCTACATTAAATTGTGCATAGCGTACAGCATATAATAACAACAGAAGTAGTCTTAAGAGGAGGTTGTATTGTTCATTCCCAAGTAGTTTGGCTTCTATGAATACTGAATTGAGTCCTATAAACCCACAAAATTATAGAAGGTGACCTATCCCACGAATCGCGGGGACGGAAATGTATTGCAATTGCGAAACAAATTCTGAAAAGATAATCATACCCAGTTTTAACTCCTGTGAAATACTAACTTATGTCATGTGGTGGGTCTAATGTAATATGTCCTATCACGCCGCGCTGAGGTGTTAGCATAAGGCTTAGTTTTCGACTAAGGGTTAAGATTAGGGAGCTGTGGTTTAGGGTGAGGGTTCGATCTCAGATTTGGGTGTTAAGCCGTAGGCTTTGGAGTTGGTTAGGGATTCAATGTTGTCAACGTCAATTATATCTTCAGTTGCGGACAAATCGGTCGGTTATTCCTTCTTTTTATGTGATTTCTCAAAAACGGTTGAAATCAGTTCGCCTTGAGTATATCATGGATGCCCTAGGGTTTTATTGTTCCTGTACGCTTCTAGCTCCTAATTTTCACTCCGTTTTCGGCAAAAAGCCGCATA